TAAAATCTCGATGGCAGTTAAAAGCAAGATAATGGACAGAAGAAAACTGAGAAAACAATGGCAAATAAATCGGTCCCCTGAACTAAAAAAGGACTTAAACAAACTAACCAAAAAACTTAAAATTATGCTACTTAATGAGCAAAATAAAAACCTGCAAAAACGCATAATGAACTTGACAGCTGACAAAACCACTAACTGTTCTTTATGGAAAGTTACTAAAAATATCAACAACTCAGTAATGCATCAACCACCACTGAGGAAAGCAAATGGAACTTGGGCTAGAACTAAAACCGAAAAAGCTGAACATTTTGCCACGCACTTCGAAACTACGTTTAGTAACCCAAAACAGCATGATAGCAACGTTACACGGAGCAGCTCTACTCAAAATGTCGCAATAAAGAAAGTTTCAATAACAGAGATTAAGAATACTGTAGGCTTATCCTACTTAATTTAATTCTTTATTTATTTATTAAAGCAAGAAATAATTACTAAATTTTGTGTGTTGAAATTACACGTGTCTGTTGTTTTATTCTTAGTTTTCCCAAAACCGTAAAAAGAATGACAACCTTATTTTTACTAAATAAAAATATTATTAGTTTTTAAAAATTTTCTTTTTATGGCCAACTCATCTTATTATCAATAATTTACTTGTCCGAGTTTGCATGGCCAACCTATATCATTTTAAACATTAATGTGAATATGCAACCGCCACAATACTATTAAAAATAAAATTAAAGCAAAAAAATCACCGGGATATGATAGTATCACAGAAAAGATTCTGACTGAGCTGCCTCTTCAAGCACTTGTATATATGAGAAATCTGTTAAATTGCGCTTTTCGCCTTAAGTATTTTCCAAAAGTTTGGAAAGTAGCAGAAGTAATCACTATACCTAAACCAAACAAGGACATATCTGTAACAAAATCATACAGACCAATTAGCCTATTACCAGTTATGTCAAAATTGTTTGAAAAAATAATTTTATCAAGACTAGAACCGATTCTCCATAAAGAAAAACTTATACCTGACCATCAATTCGGCTTTCGGAAAAAGTATTCGAATATACAACAAGTTCACAGAGTTGTTAATAAAATAACTAGTGATATTGACACAAAACAATTTTCCTCGGCGGTATATCTAGATGTCGCAAAGGCTTTCGACAGCTTTTGGCATGGAGGTCTACTAACTAAACTATCAGAGCTTCTTCCAACAAACTTTTACCTCATACTTAAGAGCTATCTACAAAATAGATACTTTTATGTAAAGTATAAAGACTCAATCTCCGAACTTAAACAAATGAAAGTTGGTGTGCCCCAAGGAAGCGTACTAGGTCCATTACTCTACTCACTATACACGGCTGATGTCCCGAAACCTTCTGATTCTCAAAGTTTGAAAGCAACTTTTGCAGAAGATACAGCACTAATTGCAGCTAATAAAAATTTTAACATATCCACAGACAACGTGCAGAATTACCTAAACCCAATGCTCGAATGGTTCGACAAATGGGGACTTCAAATAAAAATTTTTCAGCTATCAGATAAACCACAATAAAACGCTTTTATTTTAAAATTTTGAAGCAGATATTTCGTTCTTTTTTTAGAACATCCTCAGTGCTTAATTTTTTAATAAAAAGCTTAACTTAAGGTTTATGAAAATTGAAATTAAAACAATATATATGTAAATTAACATATATATATAATGACACTATTGAAAGCACAAATATTAAATAAAACAATAATTATTTTTATTTTTAACTTCACATATGTTGGAGAACTGACAAAAATAAACATCGATGTTTATTTGATTTGATGTTTATTTTTGCTCCAATATGGAAATATGGAGCCGAAATATGGGGCACAGTATGCAAATACAACATCCAAATACTGCAAAGACTACAATCAAAAATACTTAGGACTATCATCAACGCTGAATGGTACATCTCAAACTATGACATTCATCGCGATTTAAAGATAGCCTTCGTTGCAGACGTTATCCGTAAAAATAGTAAAAAGCACACAGACAGATTACTTTTCCATCCTAACCCAACAATGAGACAGCTACCTAATGACGAAACCACACATAACAGAAGATTGAAACGCTTATTTCCATCAGAACTAGCAATACTATAATATCTAACTAATATATTCATAGTAAATTCATAGAAGTCTATTTAATTTTATAATATTTAGTTTATATAATTTAAAAAAAAGTTTTCTTTTTCTTTTTATCCACTATTAATAGTTCACTCATGTAATTCTAAATCTTGGCAGTTGTATAATAAACGAAAGCAAAAAAAAAAAATTTCCATTTTTAATCAAATTTTTAATATGCTGCGGTAAATTAAAATAACTGCATGGTTTTCTGTCTTTGAGGGTGGAGCAGCTATCCAAGGCAAGATGGTTGTTGATGCAGCTAACGTCTGCCAAGTTCTTAAACGCATTTCAGTCGGTGGTAGAGAACGTAGGGGTCAAAATATTCATGGGCCAATTTTCAAGAATGAATAGAACCGGTTTATGATCAGAGTCCAGCTCATCCAAAACTTCCATAAGCACGGTATAATTTAGGTTAGACATGCCAAGGTATATTATATTACCTGCTCCGCTGCCGTAGTGAGTTGGCTCGTTAGGTGTATGGAGTTGTAGCATATAGTCATCAACAAACTGGACAATTTTCCTTCTGGCCCTATTCGTACTTCTATCACCCCAATTTCTGTGAAAACCATTCAAGTCTCCAGCAAGAAATGTGGGTAAGTTGTTACTAGAAACACCTAGACTTTACTAAGTAAAGTCTGGTGAGTTCCATGACTATTTAAATAAAGGGCGTAATTTGGCACTCTATTTGTGTTACGCTCTCAGTTTGTACTTGTGTTTTATTCAAGTTTTACTATGAGTAAAAAAGGACCTTACTTTTTTCCTTTTGTACAAACTTTTGAATTTGGTTTCTCTTCCATTTGACTGTTATAAATTTTTATAAGCAAAACTTAAGTTGTTAATCAGTTAAAAAAATCGTTTTATATATTTTAAAATGTTTTCATTTTTTTTTCTTATTATAATAATATTTTTATTTTGCAATTGTATGTCTTTGCTTGACTTTGTATGAAGACTAGCAATTTCATAAAATTTATTATAAATATCATTTATAATAATATAAATTTATTATTATAAATACGCGGTGTCGACACCAATTGTATGTGTATGTAAAAATCAACCAACATTTCATTAATATATCAATTTTATTAATTTTAGTACTTTTTAAGTCACTAAATAAAAAAATAGTAAAGTACACATATATAAATTTTTGAATTCACTGTCTGCAAGTAATTTTTTTATCTTAAATATTGTATTAGGATCATGTTAGGGCCATGTTATGTAGAGTGTCTCGGGCACGGCATGAGTACAATTGTTTTTGTTTTCGATGCAAATTTTAAATTTGACAATGAGGGAAAAAACAATATGGCCGTTCGAACTCCGGCATGAGAGTCGGCTTATTTGTGCTCCGGCACTGGGCCAATTTACACTATCATACACTATCGTCATATGAACTTGACGACACATAAACAGTCAGTTCAGTTTACACTCTCATGAACTCTCATAAGAATGAAATTTGTTTTGTTTTGTGTAAACGTACAAGGTGCTCTTGTGTAGTAGTGCAGAGCACAGAAATTGAGTGTATTCAGCATGAAAAGGTGCACATAAACCTAACATTGCATATGTATGTATGTATGCTGAAGAAACGCAGCAAATTTCATTGCGTAAACTCCATGAACTCACATCACACTTTCTTCCCTCTCTCATATATAAGTAACCGGTTTTCAAGTTCATATTCATGTTCATGATAGTGTAAATAGGTCCACTAAGGTAAAATAGTGTTGTTTAGTAATAAATTTCAAAATTCGACCCTTTTAAGAGCAAATTACAACAATTCGAATACGTTTTGGAGAAAAAATGGCAATAACTAACACAGCCTTTTTTTAAAAATCGCTAATTATATAACTATCACACTTTCCGATCTTAAAGAAAAGCGTAAGTACTGTTAACAATTATTACAAGATAATATAAAAATAAAGTAGTTTTTTCTTGCTAGTTATTGTTAGTAGCAAATTTAAAGTGAGCATATCTAAATTTTCTTTTCATTTTAGGCACAATACTGAATAGTCTGCACAACATATATTTTCGGCAAAGTCTGAAAGAGCGTAAGAGCCGCCCCCGAGACACTCTGCATAGCATGCCCCTTATGCAGAGTGCCTCGGGCACGGCACGAGTAAAATTGTTGTTGTTTTCAATCCAAATTCAAATTTGAAAATGAAAAAAAAAAAAATTGGGCCGTTTAAACTCTGGCATAGAAGCCGATGTATTTGTTCTTGGCCTATCTCGGCCAATTGCAGTACGTTGTGAGGAAAAAATGGCATTGAGCAATAGACTATGTTTTATACTTTATAAAACTGATAATTTATTTTATAATACTTTCCGATTTTAATGAAAGGCGTATTATTTTGTAAGTACTGTTAACAATTATAATAAGATAAAATAATAATGATTTAACAGAACTACATCCTCTATGAGTTTTTTCTTGATGGTTATTTTGCAAATTGAAAGTGAGCATATCTATATCCTTTTTAATTTAGGCACAATCAAAAAGTACCATTATTTTGTAAAGATACAAAATTGGCTACACTTATGTGACACTCTGCATAACATGCAATTTCGGCATAGCCCGAAAGAGCGAATTTTACCGTGCCCGAGACACTCCGCATAACATGGCCTTTAGTGAACTCCATAAAATCTCCTAAAGTAGAAAAAAACATTTTTTTTGAATTCCCTATACACAAACATTTGGTTAAAGTTTTGTGTTACATCTCTCATCAAACAGACTTTTTGTGTATATATTTATTTCAGGCAGTTTGTTTCCACGTTCTTTTAATTCAAAATTTTTCGATAAAATTATCGATAGAATGTAAACTTAAATATTTTAATCATAAAGTTCATTTTGAATAAATGTGAAGAGATCGGATTTATAATGTCTGGTTGGGATAAAAAAGCTGCCGACCAGGAGATTTCTAAATTGGTAAGGTATACAGTTTTGAAAATGTTTGACACGCTTTACATTTCTTTGTCTTAAGGTTAATAATATTAATATCAGTAATGATAAAGTATCTGGAAATTCTTTCGAGGATCAGGCTGATGTTGCAAGGTATGTGAAATTAACCGGTAATTAAATTGAATAGTGTGGAATTATTGGTTGAAATTTGTAAGACTTGAATTTAAAAAAAAGCTGCTTTACGTATATATGTTTATACAGACCTCAGTGGCCAGAAGTCTAGACTGGCAAAATTAGATCCCTATTTTTTTATGATTTTATTTGTTCTTTTCCATAACTTGTCCCGCTTTGAGTCATAAAAATATAGACCACCTTAATTATAATATTAAAAGATATTGCCATTATAATATTTTATCAAATCGGCTACCTGATAACAATTGCTGTTTGTGAAATGAATTTTTAGTTCAAATATGTGTTCTGAAACATATCCTAAAGGTATCCATATTCGTTTGAATATACATGATGTGATATATTTTTGTATGTTGCATAGATGTGGCGAGAAAAGCATTGAATTTGACAAAAGACACAAAATGAAAACCATCGGAATGCAAAGTAAGCAAAAAAATTTCTTCAAAATTACTAGTGCTATATGTGTGTTTTCTCACGAATATGAAAACATTAATCTTAGTCGCAGGAAGGCCCTGCTGCAAAATATAGGTGACTTTAAACATTTAAGTTTTTTATACAATTATTGAAATTGAAAAGATTACACTTTCTAAACTACAACAATTTAATTTCGACATAAAAACTTCATTTGGAAAACAATTTGAATAAAAAATTAGTGCAATTTTTGTTTTGTAATGTTACAACCAAATTATTTCATTACAAGTAATTTCTTTACATAAATAGACCTTTTCGATTATGATTTCATATTATGTTTGTATTATTGGTGCAAACTTTGTAAAAATCCCGTATTGCCAACGACACTTTTTTGGCATTTCATTTGCTAAAACAGTGTTATATGAAAAAAGATAATAAACAAAAATTCTTCAACATATAATACTAATTTTTACTGTAGCAAACTGCTTTTGATGTTTTTGCGCCACTAGTGGTGTATTGGGTGTCATGCCCAATTATAAATTTCGAACACTTTTTTGATAAATCTATGTGGTAATGTTTTGATCTCAGAGACAATAATATTGTATATTAACCGATTTATAAAGTTTAAATTTGAACAAAATGGGCCTTGAGATTAAACCAATATTTGAAAATAATTATTGAGACTAGATTAATTTGATGCAAAATGTGTTTTAAATGGCATCGAACATTGTGGTGGTACAAATTTAATTGATACATTTTTAACTCTTTCGACCCCAACTTTTATCCTGTGCAGTGAAAATTGTTGTTTTAATACTAATCTTTTTATATTAATTTAAGAAGAATTTAGCAAAACAATTTTAATTCGTCACGCCCATTGGTTTGGGCACTAGTGAAGTTGCTTGTGAGCAACGTTGGGTAATGGTGGTATATAAAAATCATTTTTTTTCTTTAACAACAGATTATAATTATTTTTATTCATTTTGAAGAATTAAGTATGATACGACAAAAAACAGTTTTTATTATTATTACAGCAAAGGTTAACTTTGCATTTAAGACATTTGGACATTGGTGTTCCTGTTTTACATAATCTGCAACGCCCTCTTTCCCCAAATACTACCCAATATTCCACTTTATCATAACGCTGCGAGACTGAAGGATTCACCTGGAACTTGTACTTCTTTGACTGATTCGAAGATAGACTGCTTGATAGGGAACCCAGGGATACTATTGAGCTTTCCCTTTCCACATTCGATGGTCGACCTCTCTTTTTTTCGAACGAAGTAGTGGCGATACATTGTAAAAGCTCATGAGCAACTACCATTTGAAATTTTATAAGAGAAATATGCTTTTGCTTGGGGTTTATCGAATGTAAATGTTTTTTATACAATAGCCATGCATTTGTAACAGACGTTCCCAGACACCAATAAAAGATTCTGATGTACTACTCCATAAGCATGTCTGCTAAATCTACGCTTCCCATGCTCTTATTGTAAGAAGCAACAATCGCGGGCCTTTCTATATCAATATAAGCCTTTTCTTTGGGACTCTAACGTTTGCATATCCCAACATGTTGATGGTCTTCGCACGAGGATATCAATTGAACTGGCTTATTGTTAAACCATTTCACACATACAAGATTATGATTAATATCGCATTTCATATCGAAAGATCCCTTTCCACGGTTTTTAAACTTTGCATCCGAAAGCATTTGGCAATTACTTATACGATTTTTACGTACAGAACCTGTTGCAAAACTGCCCATCTTCTTCAACGAAATCAGAAGGCTTACTGACGTGAACCAATTATCAAAATAAAGCCTGTCTTTGGGCAGACCTTGTGCCAAATACAAGACCACATCCGAAGATATTCCTAAACCATAAGAAGGACAGGTGCCTTCACCAACATACGGCGTAAAGTCGTAAACTAATCCAGATGTTCCAGCACGCGTAAAAATTTTCAGACCCCATTTGTGAGGCTTAACTGGGTTATATTGCTTAAATGACGATCGACCTGCAACTAAAAAATAAATTAAAATAATAAGTTCATAATAAAATTTCTATAAGTATACCTTTGATCGCAATGATTTGTTCATCAACACTTTGATGATCTTCCTGAGGTAGTTTACCAAAGTTTTCTTTGAAAATGTTTAGTAAAGGGCGTATTTTATATAGTTTGTCATAGTTTAAATCTTCTTTTTTTAATTGTTTAGTATTGTCGTTGAAATGTAAACATTTCTTTATTTTTTCAAACCTCCCACGCGGCGTTGAATCTGTTATTGCGGTAAGTTTTAAATCTTTTGACCATGCCGTTTTAAGTTGTGGCAATTTTAAAATACCCAAATACAACAAAATACCAATATAACGTCTGATATCCGCATCAGTACATTTAAGCTCAATGCCATATTTTTGCAATCCATACAACTCAGTGTGCTTTCGGATCGAGTCAATAATTCGGGTATCAAAAAATGAGCAGAAATATTCTACTGACGTCAATACGTCGTCGACTTTAAAAATATTTTCTTCTTCACGAATACTCTCTGGAGCTTCAAATGGCCTTGTTCTCCACTTTAGAGTCGTGGGGTCAATCTTTTCGAAGCAATTATCAGCAACAAGACAAGATTGCTGATCACATTCTTCTACAATCATGTTTTCAGAAGGTCAAATTCGATACTTTCGCCTCTTTCTACGATCCCTTCTAAATTCCTCTCTAGCACTGCAGAAATGTCTCCCGACTCATCATCACTTTCTTCGTCAGTAAAACATCCCAATCAATCATTTAACGAGCCCTTCACTTTCGGTTTCATATCTAAGTGCAAATATATTTATTACCATAATGGCCCAACGTTGCTCACGAGCAGTTTGAAAATTATTTACCTGCTAGCTAGCTATTCAAAATTATTTTAGTTAAACTTTACTAATGTTTAGTTAACTGTTTGCTTTAAAACTATTTATTAATGCTTTTAATTTTTTTAAAGTATAATAAAAGTAAATGACTAATTTTAAAACTGCTATCGAATTTCAAAATAATATTTTCTGCAACGGACATGCACTCTATTAAAAATAACTTCGCTAAATGATCTCCAAATGCACTTATTTTTTATCATTTTTTGAGTAGACACACAAAAGTACCGTTATTAAAAAAACTGAACAAACAAAATCAAATGGAACCGTTAGTCGTTAAACAACAGATGTTGCTCACAAGCAACTTTGGGGTCGAATGGGTTAAACATATTTTCAGAAAATTTCATTCGTCTCAAATTGTTTTTTTTAATTCGACTTATATTCAAATAAGTTCACCAATAGTTGGATACTTACATTTCTGTTAAAATATGATAAAATTAAAAAAGTAGTAAGCTTATTTAATTTTTCTCTTTAATTTTAAAATTTTGTTCTGTATATAAATACCATGATCCTATAAATAAATAATGATCATTAATATTTTGTAAGTGAAGCCACCAATTCAATTCAATCAGCAAAACCAGTCTCTACCGTCGTTTTAACAACATAATCATATATATTCTGACGACGTATTCTGACCATGAAGACTTGCAAAATTTGTTAAGAGATAACATTTGTATTTCCACCCACGATTGATCTATGTTTACTATAGCACCTTCAAATATCTGTTATTTGTATGAGCATTCGAAAAGTTTTTGTATATAATGCGTCTTAAAAGTGTATATAACACCTTGATCTATTGGCTGGAGTAAAACTGTGGTATTTTTCGGCAAAAACTACACTTTGATATTTTAAGAGAATTTTCAAACGGCTTATTGGATGACATGGCGCGGTGTCTGAAAGGAGTATAGCTTAATAAGATAGATTATTTTTCTCTAAATATGTTTTCTCTTCTGGATAGAAATATGTATGAAACCAATCTTCAAACAAGTTTTTCCTATTTTCAATTTCGTACTGAGTTAATAGAGTACGAACAACTTTTAACAACTTGCGAGCATTAAAAACACAATGCATAACTAAATAATTGCACAGCAACATACCTCTTGATTCAGTGCTATTAAAATGCCACCTTTTTTTGATATGCATTTTGCCTGTATACCAATAATTTACGCACAAGCAACTCATATATACTATACATTAGCGTAATAATATAAATAAATTGTATAATATTTCTTGGCCGTTAAATGAGCTATTTTTTGGCTGTTAAGCGAAACATGGTCATAAATATGGTTGGGCCGTTAAGCGCGTTTGCCGTTAAACATGGCGCCCGTAAACCGAGATATAGGTGTATATTTTTTCTCACCTTAACGAAACTGTAATTTCTTTTTTCCAAGTAACAAAAAAAAATACTCGTAACTTATGAAAGAAAACATGTGAAGCAACAAGAATGCTCTTAAAATCTTCAGAGTACGTTGCTTTTACTTGCAAAAAATTTTTGTCTTAAGTTTCAGTGCATCCAAATTCAAAAATCAATCTTGAAATAATAACAAATTGCAATAGATCAAAACAATTACATAAAAATGCTTACCATTGCTCTTCTACCATTCATTTTGTTTACTTTTATTTAAATTAATTAATTTTTAGTGTTTACAATATTTATATTACATATTATACACAGCGCAACAAAAATCATATTAAAAAGAAAGCATTTGACATATTTTAAAAGTGATACCAATTTGTTTCAATTTCAAAGAAAAAATACTGTTAATGACTAAATTTTATGTTTTTGTATTTTTGTAAATAGTTTAATTTTTTCTACCATTTGAAACTTAAAAAAAAAAAAGAGATACCAGTAGTTTATGTAGTTTACAAAAAGAAGTTAAACTCAAACTTTTCGTTTTTGCTTCTGTCAAAAGATAAAATGTAATATGGCGTTTACACTGGCTGAAAATGACTCATTCTGAATGAGTCATTTGAAAGTGTTTACATTCGTTGTATTTCATTTTTTCTCATTTCAAACAGCTGATTTTTCAACTTGCATGTTGATTTAATTTTTGGTCTGTGCCAAAAAAATGTTACAGGAAAGTTAAATATACCTTCAAACCTTACAATATAAACTGAAAACTTGTTTCTGGATTCGATTTATTTATTTTTGGGAAGTAGAAGTTCCAAAAATTGGTGCATCGTTTTAAAGAAAATGCAACCACCAAACATTTGTTTACCTTTTTTTGTAAATATGTCAAAACAGCTTTTTCAAACTGTCAAAATGCCATGAAGAGCTTTCATTTAGGGTATGTTCAATAGATTCCTTTGCATTTGGAACATATGTGGAATGCATTCGAACGTCTTTCATACAGAATGTGAGAAAATTGCTCATTTTTGTGCTTGAAATTTTATATGCAAGAATGAGCCATTCGATACTCATTTTCGATTTTTGACCAAAATGAGCCATTTTCGGCCAATGTAAACGCCATATAACTTTCTGAATTATTTGAAAATCAATAAATCAAACTAAGCGATCGAATAAATTTATTATTTATAAAAATAATGAAATTACAATTAAAAATTTAAAAAATGTTGCAAAATTAAATAATATAAATATGAATAATGAAATAATATTAATATTGAAATAATAAATAATTTTTTAGCTGCTTAAGCATATACATATGTATTTAACGTTGTGTTCTATTAAATATTAATTACAAAATTCTAATAACATGCAAATATTATATTTACTATTTTTGTTTGGTCTGATAAAAAAATTTATTTTTGTAATGAATGTTATAAATATAAAAAAAATGTTAAAATATGTTTTATATTTTTACATTAACGTCAATATATTTTATACACAAATATGAGTGGATATGTAAACATGTACGTAGTTTTGTCGCAAGCGTGCATCGTGCTTCAGACCACCTAAAATAAAACGCATAAAAAGTTACCTTTTTATTGATACTGTGGCCATTTATACTTCGCCCGCTCTCATTTCTTGTATTCTTATTTCCTTTGTAAATCGCTCGGATTTAATCAAAGACTGCACTAAAGTTTTTCACAAAAAGTTTTATTATTTGTAATTCGTGATAAAAAGCTGTTTTAATGCTGTTGCTTTGGTGAGGAAATTAATAATTAATAATCGCCACCGCATCCAGTTTAGTTCAATTTGAATTCAAAAGTAATGAAAAGCCTATTGTTCCTTTGATACCAAATCGTTGATGTATGAAATTTATGTTGTGTGTGTATGTTTATATGAATACCGATTTAAATAGTTTACTATAATTTTAATGAAGCTCGCTGTAAAATCATCTTATGGAGGACGAATTTCATGTTCTTTCTGCTGGTCAATTAAATTAAATATCACATATACTACGCACAAAGAATGTTTGACGTATTACAATTCCAAAACACTTTTTAACGCATTCTTTGTCAGAGCTATGGCTGAAAATGTAGAACGCTACCAAAAAAGAGTTTTAAAAGGTATATTTGGCCACTGTGTATCGTACGTTTTCAATTCCGCAATAAGCTCAATAGAGATAGTTTTCGACAGTCTGTAATTCTGGAATGCATTCTTTACCGATTCAAAGGGATAATACAATGTTTACGTCTTAAAAACGGCCTATTAGAAACAAAGTTAGACATAATTGCGCTATTTTTACAAATTTTTATTAATTATAAAAGCACAAAAAAAACTTTCAAAATAGTTGTCAGAACATGAAAATTATTTTAAAAGATTTTTATGCTTCGAAAGACTATAGTCAGCTATGGCCAGAATTATCCTGCAGATCATACCTAATTCTTATGAAATTTTGTCGCAATAGCAAATTATTTACTTAAGGAAATGTTCCTTACTTAAGGAAATTATATTTCTGTATATTAAATCATATTACTTTGATGAGATCAAAAAATGTAAATGTATGGGAAATCAAAAATCTTTACATTTTAGAATAATTTAAAATTTATTATCCTATTTTATAGATATCGTTTTTAATATTAGTTTTCTATATAAAGTTTTCTATATTTATATTTATATCTATTATATCTATATTTATAATTTAGTCCTGCTGAGACAAGCCTATTGCTTAAAATAATACGCAAAGGTTTAGTTCATACGAATTTAGATCTGGAAATTCAGAGAAAAGACCCTACATCACCTTTATACTCTGTCAAATCATTTGAAGCTCTGCATTTGTAAGTATAAAGTGAAATATAATTATTTATATAAAATTCACTTTTATTTCTGTTATATTTTTATTTTTAGAAAACCGGAGTTATTGAAAGGGATATATGCGATGGGATTTAACACACCATCAAAGATTCAAGAAACTGCTTTACCGACATTATTAGCAGATCCTCCGCAAAATATGATTGCTCAAAGTCAGTCGGGTACTGGAAAGACAGCTGCTTTTGTGTTGGCTATGTTGAGTCGAGTGAATACGAAATTAAATTTTCCTCAAGTATGTGCAATTCTACAAATTAATCAATTTATTGAATAAATTTTATTCATACTGCATATATTATATTATAAGAAACTAAAACGTTAAATCATGTTATTAAAAATTGTAGGTATTGTGCTTATCTCCTACGTATGAGCTAGCAATACAAACAGGTGAAGTTGCAGCGCGAATGGCACAATTTTGTCCTGATATCAAAATGAAGTTTGCTGTTCGAGGGGAAGAAGGTATGTAAGTTGAAAATACCAATAAGAATTAGAATTGAATAAATATTTTTAGTTGCTCCCAATACTAAATTAAGCGAACATATTATTATTGGAACTCCAGGAAAAATTTTAGACTGGGGATTAAAATATCGTGTAATTGATCTTAAAAAAATTAGTGTGTTTGTATTGGATGAAGCGGATGTAATGATAGCCACGCAGGGTCACCACGACCAATGTATTCGTATTCATAAGTACTGTATGTTTAAGTATTTTTTTAAACAACTAAATATTTTTAATTTATAGACAACTTACTTCTAAGTGTCAAATGCTTTTTTTTTCTGCTACATACGATAAAGAAGTAATGGATTTTGCACAACATATTGTTAACAATCCTATTATTATAAGGTAACTGTACTCAATTGAATTTTCTAATATTTACCAAAATTATAGCACCAAAATTAAAATACTTTTTTTTCGTTATAAAATTTAATATTTTTGTAAAAAAGAAATATGGATCCTATTAGTGATGTTCGTATTCAGTTTTACGAATTTTTTGGAGATTCCGATTAATCGGATAGTAAAATAAGTCTGCAGATGTAAAAAAGATATCGAATTTTTGTGCTTATTTGTGCGATGTTCACATTCATTTGTATATTGTGCTTTCTCTTTAATTTTCGCTAACGAAGTCCAATAATTTAAAGTTTAACTACGAATAATAATCGTAAATCCGGATATTTAAAGATTTCGGATTTACAAAAAATTCGACTTATTTTCGAGTCGAGACTTCATTCATATCTGATTAATCGAATAGCTTCAGTTTTAAAACTATCCGAATACTTTGAGCAGCACTAATTCCTATAACAGTTGCATTTTAAAAAGTATTTAATTTTAATTTATTACCAACAATTTGAGTAGTATGTTACATTAACATATTGGAACCGAATAAAATAGATTGTTACGAGAACAAGAATCGTTAAATAATATAAAGCAGTATTATGTGAAATGCCGTACTGAAGAAGAGAAATATAATGCGATTCAAAATATATACGGTGGAATCACTATTGGTCAAGCAATTATATTCTGTCATGTAAGCATATAAAATAAATCAAAATAATATTAACTTATATATTACTTATGTCGTTTTAGACACGTAAAACTGCTGGATGGTTAGCAAGCAAAATGTCTAATGATGGTCACTCTGTTGCTGTTCTTTCTGGAGATCTAACAGTTGAACAAAGACTAGCTGTATTAGATCGCTTTAGAGCCGGTTTGGAGAAAGTTTTAATAACCACAAACGTACTATCACGCGGTACTTTTTTGGTGTTCTTATAATTTAAACTTGAATTAACAAGGAACTTATTTTATTTGCTCCTATCAGGTATTGATGTTGAACAAGTAACAATTGTTGTAAATTTTGACTTACCCATGGATTCAAAAGGGAATGCGGATTGTGAAACATATTTGCATCGTATCGGCCGTACAGGAAGATTTGGTAAATTGAATTTAAAAAAAAAGTCAGTACACTGTATAAATTATGAATAAACCCTAGCACTAACATCCATCTCATATGAAAAATTGTCGCAAAACTCCAAATAAAAAAAATTTTCCACATAATGTTGACTTCGCAAACATTAGGGGTATTCACTCTCTCTTGCAAACTCATTGCAAGGTGCACGAAATGCACAGATTGTACGAGAATGCAAATAACAACAACAAAATACACGCACAAAATTTCGTGCAATTGCGTGCAATCTTCCAATACTAAAACCTATGTATATTTGCTTGCAACAAACCAGAAATGGCGGAAATCAGCTGTTTTGTCATTTGTTGCTTCTCATTTTTAAATTTGAATTGACTGTTAGTAAAATTTCGAGATATGTTAATCTATGGCTATGCTATATACATGCGTTTCGTTCAATAATTTAAATCGATGTGACCATTAATTAAGTTTTCACAAATATACTATTATATACATATACATTTGTGAATTAATTTATCTATTTATCAATTTCAGCGAAACTTACGAAAATTTGTTCACATTTTGAACTATTGAATGAAGTGTTTGGACGCATGTCTAATTTTGTACGGAAACATTGCCATAGCCACCAACTAGTTCTGCGCTAGGCAATGAAGTTTTTTTTATTGAATCGTCTGCAGACAACACATCATCCAGCTCTGCACCGAAAGTCGTGCGTTCTGCTGTGCAAAGCCCCACTACCCCCTCGATAAAAAAATATAACAAATAACAATAATAAATTAAGAATTAGTTATATTTTTATTATACTAATTATTTTTATATTATATTATTATTACATATATCTCTAACAACAAATAATGTAGCGACTTTACGAATAGCCGCATTTTCGCCTGATGAACCCAAACGATATAAAACAATAGCAATCCTTAATAGTTTATTAGTGAGACTATTAAGGAAAATACGTTCCAATTTACTGTAAGCATCTGACAAAAACGGCCTTCATCAAATTCTTGAAGAATGGTAGATCTCCATTGAATAGATTTTGGTACGGGTTGGTGATTTCTGTGATGGTTTACTAAAGTAAACAAAAGGTCTTCATTTAATTGCTCCATCACTTCCCAGTAATTTGCATCATCTAACAAATAGAAACTATATAGTAGTGAAAACTACATTAACAACATGTTAATACCTTTAATAAGAATATTAAAAGCACTATTTTCAATAAAAAAATCTATACATTTTTGTATTTCACTTGTTCGCGGCATTGTTATACTTTTATTTTTCTTTGCTCAATTTGATACGGCTGCAAAAACAGCTGATTCATTTTGATGATGCAATTCTGCAACAGAGGTGCTCTCGCAGTCTTGCAGTTTTTGTATAGCATTCTTGCATTTCGTGCTCCTTGCAATGAGTTTACAAGAGAGAGTGAATACCCCTATTATGTTTTATGGTAATTTTTCATGTGATGTTAGTAACAGGATTTTAAAAAAAAAAAAAAAGAAACCAATTCACTAAACAATTGTGAGTATGCAGTTTTATTTATTTTTTTTTTCATGAATCGACTACTAAAAAATATTCATTTCATTGGTAACATAGAAACAAAAAGTTAACTGGACAAAAGTGAATTCTTTAAGTATTATAAGAAAATTTATTAATTTGATTGTGGTTTCTTGTTGACAAGATTGGTAGTTCCATATATTTTTTTTTCGCAATGCTCTTTTAACGGTTTTGGGGCAGTAAATTTTATATTGCTACCATCATCACGATAATTTTTTTGTTTGTATGTTTAAAAATTTTTATGCGATTTCTGCTCCTTGCACATACGAATATTATTAATTGCGTCCATAATATTACCAGGACAACTTTTAATAAATTTACACTAATAATCAATAAAATATAGGTGAAATAAATATAAAAGTACTTAATTTATAACAGAAGTACATAAATCGTTAATTTTTGCATATGTATTTAGCATTTGTTAAGATTTTTTTGTTTATTTTACCGATAAAATGAAACGTTTGTAAAATTTCTTTAAACTGCTAATTTAAGCATCTTATATTTAAAACCTTAGAAAATAATAAAACTCAATGTATATAATATAAAAACTTCTTCTACAGGCAAGAGTGGTATTGCTATAAATTTGATTGAAAATGAAAAGGCAATGGCAGTTTGTGATACGATAAAACACCATTTTAAAAAAAATATCCAATTATTAGATGCTGAAAATTCGGATGAAATAGAAAAAATTGGTTCGTAAATAAAATAATCTTTATTAAAATAAAAATTATATATTTTTTCGAATGTGTTGTTTTTTTTTTTTTGTTTTAAATTTAAATTGAATTAGGTAACTGACAAGCTCGAACGGCTACTAGTTGTAGAAGTACAAATAAGGGAGAGAAAACTTCGCTGTATTCAAGGCCGGTTTGGCTTGAAAGTTTTAGGCATAACAAGTATTTAAAAATTGAAGCTAGGATCAAAAAATACGTGCTCCACATTAATCGATGAATTGCTTTCCGTTTGTTGTCAGAGTCAATATACATTCTTATACCTACAATAATACAGAAATAACCGTTGCATATATCTACACAAAATAATGGGCGAAATACAATAAACCAATCGTAGTCTAGTTTCTCAAAGTATGCCGTTTTAAGCGCTAACATTATGGTAAATGCCAAAGCCCCGCACAAATTTAACAGCATTTCAAATTCTGTTATTCCAAGCCAACAAACTAATTCGATTAATTTAAACATTTCTACGATCTTTCATGAAAATTTTTATATGTACACCAGAACTGTTGTGACAACACATTTTTATATCATCATCGTTGCAAAATGGATGGATTTCATCTAAAAATGATTAAAATCAATTTTATTTTACAAGAATCAACATTAACATACATTACCTATACTTTGTATTGTCGAAGTATTGATAGAATATGAAAATCCCTTGAATGTGTTGACCAAATTTAACGACAAATTCAGCCCTTTACTGATTGCTTGTCCCAAACAATGCAAGTAAATAACTTCTGTTCCAGAATTAAGGAGCTCTTCGCAGTTTTTCAGTTGAGTCTGATTAAATACAATATAGAATTTTACCATACTGTCTAACTAAATTAAATACAATGTACTTTTATTATGACAACCCTAGATAAATTGTGAAACTAGTGTTCAGTTAAACTACAGTTTAAATAAAAAACAATTCCTTGTAGTATTAAGAAAAATTATAAATAGTAATATCAAATATAAATTAACACCAAGGTTAATATATTTTATAAGAAAATTATTTACGATAGCAAACAGATTGAGATGTTTTATAAAACAAAGCATACCTTGAAATTGGATTTACACGTAATATAAATATCATTCCTATTGCTCCCGTTTCTTTTCATTTGCGTATATCTATTAACACAATTTTTAAATCTAAATCTGAAATATGTGCTGAATCCAATAACGTAAGTATAAGGTAAATGATACACATTAAGATTGGGCTGTTGCATAGAGGAACAAAGATAAACGAAACGGAAGAATTACTTATTTTCTCAAGCATTTACTTACACGACACAGTTTTAAATACGCACCAAAGTAAATAAAGAAAAGAAACTTGGAGTTATTCGTAAAATTGTGTATACAGATTTTTGAATTATTCAAATAATATTCAAAATTTCGTGCAATGAGGTAAAAATGTCACGTACAAAAACAAACAGCCTAATGCTACACAATGACGCGTTATTATTTTCCTCACCCGGTCTTGCTACTTTGCCCACTCAGTCCTTATTCACCACGATATTTCCCGAAATAAGAGTACTTTCTGATAAATTTCATTGTCTGTTTTGGTTTTTTGACATAAAAAATCCGCTTTAAGAAAATGTGCCAGTTGCAATTAGATACGAATACTTTATTTTTAGTGTTTCGCAATAGAATTTCTATTTTTGTTATGTTATTTTTAAATTTTTGCAGTAAAAACAATTACAACAAATCAACAGAATACAAACTTTGCAAACTGCATTATTTTTTTGTAATTTTTTCGTTTCGTTTTGTTGTTATTACAGCATTTTATAAAAATTTAGTTAATAACGAATACTTTTTTGACCGCTGTATATAATACTACTAAAACAAATGCGGAATTGAATTTTAATTACAAACGCATTAAAAAAAGTAATTATTTTACAAAAATATACGAATTATTACTTAGACCGTGTGCGAGGAAAACAGTAAATTGAGGGAAACAGTGAATTATGTCGCTATGGCAGTGAATGTTGGTATTTACCAGAATTTCAACTTAGGTAAATTATATAAAATTGAAGTAAATTAGGTGTTACCATTGTAAAAATTTTAAAAGATGTTTAATAAATAAATTTGAATACTTTCAACCAAAAATAATAAATAAGTGCAATAAATTTTTTTTTTTTTTTTTTTTGTATATATAAATTTTTTTATTTGATTAAATAAATTTTATAAGAGTAACTAGCTAACAATATAATAAGCTAACAAACAATTTTAATCAACAATTATAAAGAATTTAATTAGAAATCACGCAAGTTCATTTATCACGCATTTCGGACAGGTTGCGACCAAAGATCACAAGGTTTTAGACGCTTAAGGCGACGTGTTGGCTCTATTGACGCCAGTTCGTTAGCTTCATCATTCGGATGAGAGTACAGTCGCTGCAGGTGCATTCTTGCATTTCGCTGTATTTCTTCCACCACCGTATTTATCCCTAGATCACGATGCAGATCAGAGTTCCTTACGTACCATGGTGCATTTGCCACACCCCTTAATATAACATTTTGGGATTTTTGTATGGTTTCAACATGTGTGCTGCTAGCGCATCCCCAGAGCTGAATACCATATGTCCAAATTGGTTTCAATATTTGTTTGTAAATTAAAAGCTTGTTATGAAGTGACAGTTTCGACTTCTTTCCAATAAGCCATTTGATTGATCTGTATTTTATATTCAGTTCATCTCTCTTTTTTTTACATGTTCATTCCATCTCAGCTTTGCATCCAATGTCATACCGAGGTACTTAGCCGTATTAGAATGTGGAATTTGTATTCCATCAATGTAGAGGGGCATAAATCTGATATTTCGGTTTGTAAAGTTGACGTGAACTGATTTATAGTGGTTAAGTTTTATTTTCCACTTTTCAGCCCAAGCGATAATGTCATTGACAGAAGACTGCAGACGCCTGGCTGCTGTTAGTTCATTATCTCCAATCGCTAGAACAGCTGTATCGTCAGCGAACGTCGCTGTAAACGTCGCTGAGCTCGTTGGTAAATCATGTGTGTATATTAAATATAACAAAGGACCAAGTACACTGCCTTGGGGTACCCCAGCGTTGATTTTTTGGAGTTCACTGTAATCGTTTCCATGCTTAACACGGAAGTAACGATTGGTCAAATAAGAAGAAACCATATCGAAATACTCCAACGGAAAAATGTCTCTTATTTTTGTTAGTAGACCTGTATGCCAAACTTTGTCGAAAGCCTGGGATACGTCTAAGAATACTGCTGAACATACTTTCTTTTCCTCAAGGGCAGTTTCGATTACGTTTGTGATTCTGTGGACTTGATCAATGGTCTAGTGATTACACCTGAATCCAAATTGATGCATAGGTATGGTCTGCTGTTGTTCAAGTAAAGGCAACATCCGTTTAAGCATAATTTTTTCAAATACTTTTGAAAGCACAGGTAGGAGAGCTATTGGCCTATAGGAGCTAACCTCGTTTGCATCTTTCCCCGGTTTAAGGACCATAATAATTTCTGAGACCTTCCACAACGAAGGGAGATATTTCAATCGTAGAACAGCATTGAAGATGTTAGTAACTTTAACTATGCAGTTCGCTGGGATTTCTCTAGGAATTTCTGCAGTTATGAGATCATATCCTGGTGTTTTTTTTAGCTTAAGTTCGTTCTTTATTATCATCATTACTTCAAGCTCGCTAGTTGGCGGCAAATTGTTTATTCTATTAGTACCCAGATAACAAGTTTCAACACTATTCTCACTACCAGAAATAGAGAATACTTTTGTTAAATGTTCAGAAAAAAGTTCAGCTTTTTCTTTATCACTATTGGCCCATTGGCTAGTGAAGGTCTATTGGTGCGTTATGAGAGGCTGGACGTTTTATATTTCGAGTGCATTTCCACAAGGAGTAATCTGTGCTGCGATCATTGGTCAAATCAGACAAGTATGAATGGAATTGTTTATTTTTAAAGCGCTTGATCTCAGAGGTAAGTTCTTTAGTCAGCCTATTTAAATTAGCTTTAACTGCTGGGGATCTCGATTGTTGCCACTTTTTCCTTATTTTACGTTTTTTTTGTAGTAGTTCTAATATGGCCATTGGATATCTATGCGGACAGTTTGATTTCTTCCATATAGGAGTGCTTAACCACGCGGCTTGTTGAAGCTTTCTTGTAAGGTCTATAATTTCGAACTCCACATCGCCTTCACCGGAAATTTCAGTCGAAGCCGAAATATTATTAGAAAGGAATGTTCTAAAGTAATTCCAGTCAGTTGACTTATTGACAATTTTAGTCGTCACGTTGTTAACAATAGGAGAGCCATATGTAGTAAGGTATACCGGGGAGTGGTCAGAGTTAAGTTCGGTTTCGTCTTCGATTTTAAGATTGTATGTCGAGACTTGCTTTATGATGAAGAAATCAAGGAGGTCTGGTATTTTTTCAGTATCAGTTGGCCAATACGTAGGGTTTCTGGATGACATGCATTCACAGCCAGTTTGTTGTATCGCTTTTAGAAGTTCTCTCCCCTTGGTTGTGATTAGACGAGAACCCCAGTGCGTATGCTTTGCATTGAAGTCACCGCCCATGATGAATCGGTGTTTGTGCATTTCAATAAGCTGTTTGTACTGCTCTGTTTTAATTTTGTGCCTTGGCGGGCTGTAGACAGAAGTAATTTGTAATTTACATTGCAGATCAAGCGTAATGGTTATCGCCTGAAATTCTTCATTGGAGATTATTTTGGATACGAAATACTTAAGAGATTTCCGAATTAAGATTCCACTACCTCCTCGAGCGCAATTACTGGGATGTACTACGTGATGAAACTCGTAGTTTTTAAATTTTAGGTATGAATGATGTGTGAAATGCGTTTCAGTAATAAGCCAAACATCTATTTCTCTGGCTGCTAAAACAAGTTCAAGCTCTCTAAAATGTTTGAGTAAACCATTAGAGTTCCAAAGCATTATTTTTAGTAAACTTGACATTATTAATTAAGTTATCTTTTTTTGTTCTAACTTAGTAAGCCTCTTATCTAACATTTTATAGTAGCTTTCTTGTAGAGTTAATTTTTCTAATATTTGGTTAAGAATTTTATGATTTTCATCGGGCTGGGCGTTGGATCGCACCATTTCAGCGTACGTTGGATTGTTTTTGTTAGTAGGTTTTAAGTTTTTGTTTATTAAATCAGATGGTTTATTATTATGTTGATTTTTGGTCACTTTATTTCGCTGGAGATTTCCATTCTTCTCTTGAATTATTTTATTTCTTTGTTTTTGGAGCTCCTTAGCCACTACACAACCTCTGTAATTGGCCGAATGTTCTTCTCCGCAGTTGCAGCATTTAGGTTGTTGCTGATCAGGCTTTTTGCATTCTATCGTCTTATGGTTGCCGGCACATTTAACACATCGGGCTATTTTGCCACAATAGTTTTGAGTGTGACCATATTCTTGACATGTTTTACATTGTGGTATTTGTCTCGACCGCTTTATTGTTTCTATTTTAATAACACAATTCAATATAGTTTTGATTTCGTGTATTTTCTTAATATCTTCGGACGCATCAAATGTGAGCATAAACATGTCGAGTGGCTCTTTTGAGAAGGGCTTCCACTTATTTACCGCATTTAGAATGTTCAATCCTTTCTCTTGCAGATCAGTTACAATCTCAGACGGGTCACATGACTTTGGAAGGTGTTTAGCTATTACTTTTATCGGACGCAATTGTTTATTTTCATAAGAATACCAAGCAATTTTTTGCGTAGATAGTGCTTTTGTTATTGATCTGTAGTCATTAACCTCAGATGTACTGATTTTGTACAAAGTACTATTTAAAAGTTTGATAGAAAATTCTTCTTTACAGTTGTTTTTAGCAATGAGAAGGAGATCTGAGTAGTTCATTCCTTCTGAGACCATAATTGGCGGTGGACGTGATGATTTTTGGTCTGCTGAGGCATTCTTAATTGCATAAACTGATGCCATATTTTTGTACTTGGAAGGAGATATGGAGCCAGGAGAGCGATCAGGTTTTCTCTTCTTAGCGGGCCTTTTCTTAAAGACCCACTCCGTTTCTTTCGCAAGTTCATCTTCATCAGTTTCGTATACAATTTGATTGTGCACATTCTCAGACTTTTGGGTAACAGGTAATGGAGAACCTTTAAGCAACTCATTTTCTTTTTTAAGAACTTCTATCTCATTTCTAAGTTGAAGACATAGCTGCTCCATATTGTTTATTTTTTCTATATATTTAGATA